ATGATAGCAGGACATTACATACTAGGTAAAAAGAACAACTCTAAACTTCCAATCATGTGGGAATGAGTTTGGGGGAAGGGAAGCATCCTATAGTCCTGGAAGTAGGTCTTGGTCTTTTAGCAAGCTATGCTCTGTACTCTGTTTCGATATTTACCTCCTGTAGGTGGTAGAGGTGGCTTGAGTAACTGGAGTTCAGTATTTCCCTTCTCCCACACTGAAAGTCAGAACCAACTATATCTGAGAATTTGTTTTGCTCCCAGGTCAGTTAAGCTCTATAATAAGTAGCAAGTGAGGCTCTGGTTAACGAGTGACTCCTGAGCAGAGCTTGTTAAGAAAAACTGAGTGTTCTAGTGTATTTCAAAATGGTGTCTTCTCCTCACCCTGCTAGAAGCATTGGAGGATATTTTTCCCAGTTTAGTGTAAGGACCTAATCAAGTTCCAAGTTCCAACAGGTAAACTTCACACAATTGCACATTCCCCTACCCCTACCTCTACCTGTCCCCATCACTACTCCCTGAGGATTTTAAACTTTTAGACTGGTTCACACAAAATCTCCAACAATTCATCACTTACTACTCAGGTTTCCTGCTCTGGCTTTGGTTTTCACTGAGGTTGGCTTTTGTGAGTAATTACTATCTATGCCCCTCTCCCCCCCCCCCCCCAAGATTGGGACATAGGCTTACCCTGGGTTCACTTCTCTTAAGGATCTTAGAAGAGTTGTTTTCTTCAGTCTGTTAAGCTCTTCACACGTTGTCAGGATAGCACAGCAACTTCCATTCTCCTTACGTGCGGAACCCGGCACAACAAATTTTCATTTGAAACTGCCCAGTTGTTTGGAAGCTTTCCATTTCTTGTAGGCTGAAGTGCTGCTGTTGCTATTGCTGCCGCCATTGCTATGGTGGTTTTGTCTCCTTTGTCGAATCTATATAGTACACAAATGTTACAGAGTTAAAGAAGCCAGACTTTATATGTAAGTCTTTTAATTCCATGGAAATTCACCCCAGATTTTTCAACTAGTGGACTCTGGCACACACTAACAAATCATCTTGAAGTTTTGTGTGTATTGTTTAATCCCTCTTCTCTCCAGACTCTTTGTTTATTCTCCCCACCATTCTTTAGATCCCTTGACCCTATCACCCTCTCCCCCTTAACCTTAAGATTTTGCTTACTAGTGTGTGCTACAGTTATACGTATTTTGCTTTGTCAAATTGCTATGCAATAGCAAATATCTGATTTATTATTGTGGCTTTGTTTTACTACACAACAAATTCTTCACTTTTTGACAAATGGTAACACTTCACCTTTCCTTATGCCTGAACAGAATCCCATGGTGTAATAATGCTGCTTTACTGGCCCCAGCCTCTATCAGTGAACACACAGGTTGTTCCATGTGCTAGCTACCTCTGTGCTCAGTATACCATCTTTTAATATACATTGTAGAAAATGTGATTTTGGGGGTTGGTTTCACAGTCTTTGAATAGATGCCCAAAAGAGATTGTGATCTTCATTTTTCATTTCTTTAAGGTCAATTCAGCTCACAACTAACTACATTAGTTATTTTGGAAGCACTCTTCAGCTCTTCCTAACCAGGTCTGGATTATCTACAGGCTGGGATTACTAGTGAGAGAGTGGTGGATTGGCTGATATGAATTTTCATTCATTCAACAAACACTGAGTGTCTACAAGTGTGTTACCATGGTGTTAAGTGCCAAACAGGGTGTTTTGGTTTGTGTGTGTGTGTGTGTGTGTGTGTGCTTTTATCTGGTCTCAAGCAAAACGTTTCTTACAAGTTCAGAGCATGCCTTAGAAATGAGACCATCTCACTCCCTCCTGATTCTGAGAGACAGACCCTTAAGATAAAGTGTGAACTGCAGAGGACTACCCTAGCACCTTCTAGGTGTAGAACCCGATTCCTAAGCCACGGTGCCCAGTGCATGGTTTGCATCGCCACAGAGCAGAGTGAGAAATGAAGGTTGATACTGAAGGTTTCAGGCACACATGGCAGCCAGGGGCAGAGTTCTGAACCCACAGAGTGACATGGCAAGTGACTGCCTCTGGGAGTGGTGAGGACTTAACCCCTCTTCAGTCATTACCACACTGGTAAAAGCTGTGGATAGCTCGCTGGTCAGGAAAATGCAATAAGACGCACATACTCAACATGATTTCAGAAAGTTTATGTTAGAAAGCTCAGGTCTTGGGAGCAGAAGGGATTTCTGCACTCGCACTTGGCAGCTGAGAGTAGAGTCCCCTACCACCCACCACTCAAGAGGCAGCGCCATGGAAACAGCATCCGCGCTGCCGAGTTTATCAATTCACCTGCACCGCCAGGTGGAAAGCCTCTCCCAGAGCTCCACCCAACGGACTGAGCGCCAGAACCCTGGCGGGGGTCAGGGTAGCAGCTGGTGCTTGTACGCAGCAGGGCGCTGAAGCTCGGGTTCAGTACTCGTGAGCTCAGTGTCCTATTCCGCTTGCCCGTCACTGCTTTGTGTCACGCACGCAGGAACCCAGGTCCCAAAGACCGGTCATTCCCAGCTCTCCACACCATGTTCCATGACCACCCTGGGGAGAGAAAGTTTCAGAGAGTGGGGTTCCCAGCCTCGAGCTTTTTTTCCTGTGTGGCAGTGCCGCCAGAAAATTGAAGGAACAAGCGGAATAGGGCACCATGGAAATTACCTGTTCAGAGCAGGAAGCTTACCTACCAGCAGGGAGAAAAAAATCTGACGCGAGGGAGAGGTATATTGTAGGAAATGCTGAGATTTCTAGAGGTGAGGACTGGTGTGAGGAGCCACAATTTGGCTCACTTTCTGATCACCCGGGGTTGATTTTCTGTTCTGCCTGGGTTTATTGTCTAGCTGGGGTCCTTAATGGCCGCCCATGCGCTTCGTTGCCGCCACTGTTTGCCGCGCTGGGATGTTCATTACAATTGACTGCGATAGGCACTGTGCGCTCACCAACATCCTGGGCACAGACAGGTCTTTACTAGATTAAAACTGCTTCAGGCAAGAAATCAGAACATCAGACCATTCAGGAGGGTGGAAATGGTGACTTTCTAAAGGATCCAGTTTTCCGCGGTTGTGCCGCGGAAAGTGCTAACTGGCTGTTGGGGCGGCACATCCCCCCCCCCCCCCCCGAGGTAGAGACGACCAGGTCATTCCTGTGTGGAGGTGACCGAACCAGAAACTCGGACAGAAGTTCAAGGTTTTTTTGAGACTACTCCCTGTCCGCGGTCTTCCTGTGCCTTAGGAGAATGCTCGGTGTTCGTAGACGGTAATGAGTGTGAGTGTGCGGAAGAGTAGGGTTGGCGGTGAGGGCGCGTTAGAATCTGCAAGGGCTCAGCACCGTCAAGCAGCCTCCTCTCCAGTGAGGACTCAAGTGGGGATGCGGGTGCAAGCCGGAGTCACATGCCCCTGGGAGCAAACAGCAGCCGGAAGCAAGGGCAGCTGGACAAATGGCAGGTGGGCGGATGTACTACAAGTGATGGATGGCTGCATAAGAGCGGGGAGGGCCAGAGCAATCGCGGGAGGGGAGGGAAGCTTTGTGCTTTCTACTCCCTCTTTGGACCCCGCAGGGCACAGGTCCCCTCCCGGGTCACGTGATGGACCACCCAGCCCCAGTTGAGGAGCAGGCAGTTACACCAGGTTGGGGAATTGCACAGTGTGAGTGTGATCCTACCCAATACCCTAGGTGGGCCAGGAAGCTCACCCAGATCCCCAACTTGCTGGGGGACAGTCCTGGGGCGCAGTCCTTCATGTGGGTAACACGGTCTCCATTTCAAAGACGCGTTCATTGACACACTCTGAAGACATTTGCCCCTAATCTGAACGCCTGCAATTCGTGCAGCTGGAAGTGAGTTGGGGTCTAACACTGGTCTTGCTCCCTCTCCACCTCTTGCTCCCCAGCAGCCCTCCTGCAGCCTGAATCGGACACCCCGCTAGGGCCAGAATCAACCCCAGTGCTTCCAGGGCAGGTTAGACCTGTGGCAACAGGTCCCTGCAACCCTGGATCTCTGCTCGCTAAAACTTCACATTGGTGAGGAGTGCGGCACACCTCAAAACCTGTGGAAATAGACAAGTGAAGTTTCCCGGCACGACAAACTCTCCACAAGTTCCTGTTCACATTAAGTTTAATCTCATCGTGACAAACCCCCCCGCCCCCACGCAGCCCCCTCCCTCCACCGTGACCTCAATGCAAATACAGTGCGGTGGTCTCGCTGCGTGCTCCCGCTTCTGTGCGCAAGTGGGTGACACAAGTGATCTGGCGCGGGCTCCCTTCCCTCATTGGTTGCCCGGATCTCCAGGACCACCCCAAACCCCGAGCGGCGGGAATAAGAGCGGCTGCCTGTGCTGGGAGGCTTCGGAGCCACCACCCAGCTCACAGTCGCTGCCGCTCCAGTGACAACGCAGCTGAGGCTCTCACCACCTCTACTAGCTACCTGCCGCCAGGTGAGCCTTGACATTCCTGCCTAGCAATTCTAACCTGTTTTTCTCTCCCTCTCTTCCCGTCCCTCTCTCTCCGTCAGGCTTTCTCTAGGTTGATCTCCGTGCCTGTCGAGCTCTGCCCACCTCTGTGTGGTCTACGGACACATCTCTGGTACTGCGCGATCCATCTCAGGTGCTGCACAGGTAACGCTGGACAGTCTCAGTCCCGGGACTCGCTGCGGTCTTCGCGGGCTGAGGCGGACTCCGGTGTCCACCCTTCTGCTGCCCTGAGACTTAGTCCAGTCTCGGGACACTGGAGCCCGCCAGTCGCCCCGCGGGGAGAGCGGGATGCGGGCGTAGCTCTCTACAGACTGTGAGTTTAGAGATCGCGCCGTGTGCTAGTGGTCACGGGGAAATTCATTCGGAACCTGGGCGAGTGCAAGTGGGTGGAATTAGGTGTCACAATACATATTCTGGGAATTCTGTTTTTTTCTAGTTAAGTCCAGAGGTTCTAATTAAAAAATGGGCTAAATTTCCTTTACACAGTAACTCTCCCAAGGTGTAGAGTGCCGTAGCGCTAGAATGTCCATCTTAGATCTCTCAGAAATTTCCCTCCTTACTATTCGTCAGGTATGAGTAAAAGCACCAAACAGGATGCCAGCGCTGGGTTTTGTCAGGGAAATAACAATGTAATCAGTTGCTCCAGACTGTCTTTAACGGAGATTTGTCAACAGATACAGGGGTGGGGGAAGGGCGCTGTGGAAGGGACCACCTCCCGCGTTCCCCCCCAGCCGTGCTTCTTTATCTCTGCTAAACCACGCGTGCTACAGGTTCCCTGGATCTTCCAGCAGTCACTTCAAAGATGAAACAAAAGGTGACGGGAAATGACATGAGGGGCTTGAGACCAGGATACTGCAGTTGGTGCATCGCCGAGCGCAGGTCTATGGGCTCATGAAACTTTGAACTGGTGCAGGTGGTGACCTTATTCTTTCTTTACAGAGAGGCACCATGGGCTTCTGGAAGATCCTTCCCTTCCTGACTCTCAGCATCTTGGTGCTGTACCACCTGGGCTTCCTCCAGGCAGCACCTATTGGGTAAGAGAGCCGGGTACACTTCCTGATGCCCCTGCATGTGTGGGAAACCTATTAATCGATTTCAACCATAATTTGAGAAATTAATTTCATCCTTAATGTTAACCACTTTGCCAATATAGCTGTTATTAAATGTGATATGAAATCTATTAAACAAATTTTCACTCTCATGCAAATTACATTTATTAAGTAAAACATCTTTTCATTTCAAACTAAGTGTTTTATCATGTAATTTTTAAGAATGCCTTTGTAACACTAAGCTCATAAGGAACCTGAAAATCCAGCAATTTTCTTTCACAAACCTATCTAATCCAGTCCAGCACCTAACTCCTGGTAAAGCAGCACTTTTTAAACATTAATGGCATCGTGTATGCCCTGTTCATTGGAACTGCGACAGGCTCATCCTGGAGAGAAGGTAGGTACTCGCTCAGAGCCAGTAATGGGTTTGCATTTCTTTTCTAGATTTGCTGCGGACAACTGCACATCCCCTATAATTGCTGAGGAGGAATCAGAATTTGTACTGGTTGCTGTGGTGCAGGGCTTTGATCAGATTGAGGCCAATGAGCTGGACCTGGAAAAAGAGACTGACAACACCAAGTAAGACTCACTACCCCACCCAGCACCCCTTCCTAGCGCCACCTCCCTGAGCACCCTGAGCTTGGAGCACACCCCTGCCCCTGGCCTGGCCCCAGCAGTGCCCAGCAGGGGCACTTGTTGCACCTGCATTCACCCTGACGACCTAAAGCTCCAACGTAGCCAGACACAGATATAGTAGGTGCTCCCTGTAGCAAGAACAGTGCTCCCAGGCACAGGTAAGCACCTTAGGGACAAATACTAAAACTCTCCTCTTCTACACAATACAGGGGTGTTTGCGTTTTCCTAAATAAGAAGACATGGTACCCTTGAATGCAATGTGGCATAGAGAAAATCCTTGAAAATGGGTAGACGGAATGCCATCATTTTCTCAGATCTTACAATCTTTGACTGATTTCCACTTTACTTGTACAGGAAAGACTGGCTGCCCTCTCGATATTCCATGACCACCTGTGGGTTTTCTGTCGCCTGGGGAATATCCATCAGGTTGCAAATGGGATTTTCCCAAATGACCTATGATTTTTTTGCAGTGATAATTGTGTTTAGGAGAAACTTACTGCTAATTGGTGCCTCTCAGAACAGTAATTCTGCCATGAGCAGACCCTTCCCTCTGCAACTTCTGACAGGTCTCTTTTTCTCCCTCCTCTTAATCAGTGCCACTGCCGAGAAGAAAGCCTGCGACACTACTGCCTGCCTGACTCGTGAGCTGCTGGACTTGCTGAGCCTTACTGAGGATGTGATGAAGAAGGATTCTGTGCCCACCAATGTGGATGACGACGCCAATGGCAATCCCCCCGAGAACAATAAGGCCTAAACAGCATCATGAACCAGCAATCAGGTGACAATCCCCATGCTGGCCAGTGCAGGGGCAGGACTGGGTGTCAGGGTTTCCAAGGTCCAAGCCCATCAGGGCCAGACAGTATAAAAAGCACACAGAACTCAGTAGCCACTCCAGTGCCTGGAGGACAAGAGTTCCAGTTGAACCCTAGAATTTGGGCTCATTTCTGTTTCCTAGTCTCACCCTATGAAATTGATTATCTGCCAAGAAATATATTTTCTATTTAAACACTATTCCCTGCAGTGAATCTCAGTTCTCCAATCAAAGACAACTATCTCCCAGCTAGTATTAGCATGGAGAGTAAGTGAGATAGTAGATGGCAATAACTTCCTAATTCAGAAGTGACTAAATTCTACAATTTTTTCTCCTAGATTGCCATGACGCTGAACCCGACCTCTTTAATTGGACAACTTAAGGAAAAACATGGAAAATATCCATGTATGCATGCTCCTCCAAATTAAAATCACTCTTTATCCTTCAAAATAAACATGAATGCAGAATAAACTCCGTGTGTGTGTCTTTTGTATACTAGACTCTGGTCAGTAAGGGCGACGGCGCGTCTCATGGGCTGACCTAGCAGCAAATTTTGGGCCCCGGGAACCAGCCTGTAGATGCTGGTGTGTCTGCTTGAGCCTCAGGGGGTGGGAACTTGCTGCCTCTGGGTGAACGGGGACACAGAGGAACACTGGACCTCGACAGAAAGCAAATGCCATATTGTCATCTTACACTTCATCACAATAAAACATGTCATTTTGGTACATTTGGGAAAAGCCCCTGATGCTGTCCTGCCATCTGTCCCATGAGAGCACCACTGACCTGTGAACACTTTTTGAGCAGGCTGACTCAAAACAGGCAAAGCCAACATGATTGGGAAGGGTGCTCTGTGCCCACACCTTCGCTTTCTAGGGAACATGCCTTATTGGAATCAGAATCCCGGGGGCATCTCAGACACAATAGAGCCATTTCCTGAGTCCCCAACCCTAAGGGTTATCTGTGCCCTTCCCTAGACCAAGGTTCACCCTTGGCTAGTCCTGCCTTTCCTCCCCATGAGCAGTCCCTGGTCTGCAAGCCCCTTGGAGACAATTGCTCCCAACCTGAAATGGGATCACGGACGGGCAGACCCAGAGAGGTCGTGAGAGGCTCCAGTGCAACTTCTTTAATCTCTGAGGTCCAGAGGGACCTTGAACAAGGTCCTGCAATAAGTTTCACAGACATCTGTACACTTAACAAACACTTACTGGGGTCTGCAGCGTGCGAAGCACTGTTCCAGGCACTGAGAACACAGCAATGAACAGAACAGACAAATCTCCCTGCATTCTGCAGCTTCTGGTCTAAGTGGGGCTGGGGTGGGGGGCGAGGGGGGGTGGTATCGAGGTGATACATGCAGTGGGATCATAGACACTCAGTTTTGGAAGAAATCTCAGGTGTCAGAGGGACGAAAGCTGTAGTCCATGTAGGAATTTCACAGCAGCAGCCTCTGTGGGGCCTGCAGAGGACGAGTGGCTGACTAGCTCCCACGGTGATGGGCATCATTTCACAGGGACATAAGTAACTGGGTTATTGCATGAGAGAAGCCACCCCTTCTACCCACTGACTTTAGTTATTCCTTTAGGAGTCTGCAGAGTTACGACCCTCGGCCCATCAGCCGGTAGAGTAGCAGAGCTTCGCTGTACAGGTTGATGAGACCATATCTGCCTGACACCTTAGTACTCCATGGAACCCCCATTTCACGGGGTAAACACTTAGGGGGCTGCAGTGACCTACAAGTTGAGTTTCCCTTCCTCGCCTTTTTCTTAACTATCCCCAGTATCTGGCTGGCCTTATCTCCTACTTTTCTTCTCCCTTTGAGTAATCTGACCAGCATGTTTTCTTCTTTCTTTGCAGTAAACAAAGATAGGAGCTGGGTGTTTGTGAGAAGAATAATATCTGTAACCAGGTAGGAAATTTTGAATCAAGAAGGGAAATGCTATGAAAACCATTTTAGTCTTGGAATCAAGATATGAGCACCAATAATCAAACTAATCTATATTGAATTCCCATCAGCATATTTTAATCCCCACTTATAGATATATCACAAATGAGTCAGAGCCCATCAAATGAAAGTGTGATTACTTTGAACCTCAAACCATGTCATGTGGTGCACCAGTTCAGATCGCTAATACACATAAAGTGTGCTGAAGGATCTCAAGACACATTGTAGAGACAAAGACTTTTGTTGCCTCAGTCTTTACCCCTCACACCATATATTATAGAAGGAAAAAAGTCCTTCAGTTTCCAACTAAGGCTTATTCTAAATTCTCTCTCTCATATATATACACTCATATATAAGTAAGTTTGTATGTATGTATGTATATATATTTATACACATACAGAAAATCTAAACAGTCATGTGCAAGGATGATAAACATCATATTCATAAGTTCAGATTTAAAAAGTGACTGATGGCCCTCCCTGGTGGCACAGCAGGTTAAAGAACTGCACTGAGAAGCTAAAAAGCCACTTCCGCATGAGTTCGATTCCGGCCTGCCCCCGGAGGTGACCACATGGCGAGGCAGACCTCTCCTGCTGCTCCCCTCAGCAGTGTACTTAGTAGATCTGCCTGTTCTGCTCCTCACTCTGTCTCTGGTGAATCCTCTCACCCTCCGCATCTCTGGCCTGTACACCAGTTCCATATGAATAAATAAATAAATCTTTAAAAAATAATAAAATAAAAAATAAAATAAAATAAAAAGTGACTGATGTCAAAGAAAGGAGACATCATGAAGCGGGACACGCAGGTGACTTCTATCAAGATTTTGTCTCCTAGGTTTTATAGTAAATATCATTTAGAAGTATTTGTTATACTCATGTTCAACAGGAATAATTGTATGAAAGTATAGGTTTTGTTTTTTAATATTTTTTTTAACAGAATCACCATACAACTTTGAAAAAAATGCATGGCTTTTAAACTAGCAAAAGAGTATCCATCTAGTCAGTGGAAAGTAGGAAAATCATCAAAATGCATTTGTAAATGTCCCATGTGAAAAAGGTAACACAAGCAATGCTTACATCACCTTAATTATCATTGTATATGAGTTAATATCACCAAGTAAAAGAGAAGACTAAAAGAAAGCTAAAGATGAAAGCAATCTGACTGTACTTTCAAAAAAAGAAAAAAAACAGCAATTTCTTTCCTATGTGAGGAACATTAAAAACATAAGTATTCATGGGCCCTCCTTGGTTAACCTGCTGGTGGCGCAGCAGGTTAAAGCACAGCACTAAGAATCTAAAGCCACTTCATCATGAGTTCCATCCCTGGTCCCGGAGGTGACCCACTTGGCACAGCAGACCTCTCCTGACCCGCCCGCTGCTTCCCTCAGCGGTGTACTTCGTCGATCTGCCTGTTCTATTTCCCACTCTGTCTCTGGTGAATCCTCTCCCTGCCCCTGCACCTCTGGCCTGTACCCCTGTTTTGTATGCATAAATAAATAAATCTTCAAAAAACAAAAAACAAAAAAACACATCAGGACTCAAAATGGATCAAAGTAGAAGGTGAGTAAAAGATACACAGAACAAATATGAAGAAAACTGACACAACTTCCTAAGGTCAAACTAGAATTCAAGTCATCAAACACTTAATGGAAATAGAAAAGAAACTGAGTACTCAAAAAAGAAGATACATTTACCCTAAATGCACATGTGGCCAATATCATGGTCTCAAATTATGTAAAATAATAACAGAACCAGAGAAAAAACACACAAATCAAGAATTGTTAAAGAATTAATGCATTCTTCTAAATAGACCCTTGGAATCACTTCCCTACTGCATGATTCCAAGTAATCGTATTTATTGATACTCAGAATATATATCTGCTTATCTCACTACCAAATACTACTAAATAAATGAACAAATCCTACATTGATTTTAAACACCATCTCTTCTTCTGGCTTCTCTTTCCGCAGCTATTATTAGGTTTCTGTACCAGTAGTAATATTTAATAAATAGTAAGGTAAAAACAACTTTATATTGCTCTTTTTCAAAATACTCTTGATAATTTTCACACTTGTTTTCCTGAAAGTTAGGATAGTTTTCAATTTTTTAAAATCCCATTGCATTTTTATTTACATTGATAACCAGATAATGGTATGGTGTATAAATAATAATAATGATTTTCATGTTTCTTTTCTCAAATCAGCTGGAACTTCTTGAACAATGGTGAGATTTAATGATGACAGCAGGCATCTTTGATGACAAAGGCTGTTAATTTCAGAAGGAGATTCTTTGTCACGTTAGGAGAGGAACTTTTGTCTTATATGTTCTAAATGACATTTTAAATCAAAAATGGATTTGAAAGTTTAGCAAAATATCTTTTGATATTTAACAAAATTGTCTTAGGTTTTTCTCCTTTGAACTATGATTGATACATTTTCAAATATAGAAACTGACAATAGTTAATACTTTTGAGTACCTACTACATGCTACTGTACGGTAGTCAGTGTTTTACAGAGAGAAACTCACTTCATCTTTGCAACTGTGTAAACTACATACTATCACATGTCACATTTTATGTATGAAGCACAGAGAGATTAAATAGTCTGATCAAAATCATACACCTCTTAGATCCATTTCAACACACAAACCTGATCCTAACTTGATGGCCCTAAATCTGCTCTCTTTAATTACTGTAACACTTCTTGTTAAATTTACCTGCACAGTGGATTGGTATCAAAATATATTTTCATATTTAATTTGCTAATGATTTTGGGGGGGATTTTTATTACCTTTGTTAAATTCAGTGTCAGGGCTATGCCAGTGTTATCAAGGAAGTTGGAAACTCCAGGAGCCTTAAGCCTGATGAAATTTACCTGCAAAACCTCCTCACAGCCCATTTCACATAGTTTTCAATATGTCAATTTCTACCATTATTATTCTACTCTATAATTCTGCTTATTTTATTCTATCTATTCTTGTTCTACCCCCCAGATCTGTATGCATA